ACCTGAAGGGGTTTATTCTGAGATAACACACACACACACACACACACACCTGAAGGGGTTTATTCTGAGATCACACACACACACACACACCTGAAGGGGTTTATTCTGAGATAACACACACACACACACACACACACCTGAAGGGGTTTATTCTGAGATCACACACACACACACACACACACACACACACACACACACACACCTGAAGGGGTTTATTCTGAGATAACACACACACACACACACACACACCTGAAGGGGTTTATTCTGAGATAACACACACACACACACACACACACCTGAAGGGGTTTATTCTGAGATCACACACACACACACACACACACACACACACACACACACACACACACACACACACACACACACACACACACCTGAAAGGGGTTTATTCTGAGATAACACACACACACACACACACACACACACCTGAAGGGGTTTATTCTGAGATCACACACACACACACACACACACACACACACACACACACCTGAAGGGGTTTATTCTGAGATAACACACACACACACACACACACACACACCTGAAGGGGGTTTATTCTGAGATAACACACACACACGCACACACACACACACACCTGAAGGGGGTTTATTCTGAGATAACACACACACACGCACACACACACACACACCTGAAGGGGGTTTATTCTGAGATAACACACACACACGCACACACACACACACCTGAAGGGGTTTATTCTGAGATAACAGCCGGCTGGATGTTTATTATCCACTTATTACAGGAATACTTGCACATCAGTGAATAATTAGACATGAAATATTGATCTGAGTTTAAATATTGTATTATCTCTTTAAACGCAAAGCTGCGCGGAGAGAGCAGTTTCAGCGGCGAGATCAAACTAGACGGACATTGTAGAGATACGGTATACAGTCATAACACTTATTACTCAGCATTTCAACACATAAATAATAATGGAGATCAGAGATATTGATTTCAGATTAAACTGTTTTATAATCGCACCTGTTTGTATCTTATAATCCAACAGTGAACAAAACAATAGACACAAAATGGCCGCCGCTGCGTTTGTGTGAAACGTACGGTGGCCGAGAGAGCTCAACGCGCTGCAACTGAAGAAAACACATGCAAATAGAAAAAAACGCGTGCAAATAAAAAAAAACACCCGCAAATTAAGAAAACATCTTCATCAGTTTCACAACACACGTGTGCTCCAAATACTCACAACACCACCAAATACAAACGCGCTGCAAAAGCTCACAACACAAATACAGAAAACGCGCTGCAAATAACACAGAGCACAGCGGAAATGTTTCCAGAGGAACCAAATAAGTGACGAACCCGGCTGGGACGTGCTGGAATAGATATCCATAAATCTATGCGTCCATACATATAGTTTTATGTCTATATGTATGGACACTCTTGAAATGAGATGTTGCATCTCAAGGGGCTATCCATTAATAAAATTGAAATTGAAATTAATTTTTCCTCATTATTTTCACCTGGGATGTTCCCATGACAACGCAGCACAGCGTCCATCAGCTGAAGAGCTGTTCCCACAGAAATATAATGCTGTCAACATAACGGATGCAAATACATTTTTATTTTTAGTTTACAAAAAAGCTTTTAAAATATGCGTTATATATCTGTGTGTCTCAACTTTAAAATGTTGGACCCTACATTACCTAACATTTCTTACGAAACTTTTCTTTATGAAAATGTAATAACATGAAACAATTTGTACAGTGTAACTGATGTATAGATAAATATCTTTCCTTAATGATTTTCTTCTTTATCTTTTTTATTTATTTATTTTAGTTTCCAGCTCATTGTTCTTTTCTCATTTGTATTCTGATGACATTTAACAAATTGTTAATACATTTTGTACATTGTATACAAGTTGTATGTCATAAAAAAATGTAATCTCTGTATGTTTTGCACAAATAAATAAATAAAGTATAATTTTAAGCTGTAAGCACCAGCACGCATAGATTTATGGATATCTATTCCAGCACGTCCCAGCCGGGTTCGTCACTTATTTGGTTCCTCTGTAAACATTTCCGTTGTGCTCTGTGTTATTTGCAGCGCGTTTTCTGTATTTGTGTTGTGAGCTTTTGCAGCGCGTTTGTATTTGGTGGTGTTGTGAGTATTTGGAGCACACGTGTGTTGTGAAACTGATGAAGATGTTTTCTTAATTTGCGGGTGTTTTTTTTTATTTGCACGCGTTTTTTTCTATTTGCATGCGTTTTATTTTATTTGCATGTGTTTTTTTGTATTTGCATGTGTTTTCTTCAGTTGCAGCGCGTTGAGCTCTCTCGGCCACCGTAGAAACGAGAGAGAGCAAGTCCTCGATACTGGATGGCATAATTGAATAACTCTACAGAATATATTGATTCGACTGAGTTTTAATATTTTATTAACTCACCAAACGCAAAACTTCCATGAAGAAAAGCCGTTCCTAGGGAGTGTGTAGCGCTGATGTCTTCAGTGACCGGAGGAGTGTGTGTTTCTGTGTTTCTGCTGTTATCTGGGAATAATCTACCGCTGGATGTGTGATTGGCCAATCAGAATCCAGTATTCCCGTGTAATATGGTAATATCTTGTTTGTGTTTGAGTTGCAGGTGTTCTCCAGCCGAGACGTTCTGCAGCTCCTGAAGATCAGTCCTCACACGCCGTTATACAGAGCTCTGGTAATCAAACATACGCTCTCATATATTTGTTGGATCAGTTGTTGTTTTGTGACACATTCCTCTGTTTCTCGTTCTTCACATTCGGCAGGTTTCAGATATCCAGTCGGGACAGACGGGTAGGTCATGATATGATGCAGATACAATTAAATATCTTTCTTTTTCACAACTTTGCTTAAAGTCCCCCTGCAGTCCATCTTCTTATCCCTTAAACTCATCTCTGATCGCCACAATTACATATTTAAACGTTTTTTTCCGTCATCCCTTAAAATATCTTGAATGTAACTCGACACCCTCGCCTCATTTAGTATGCGTGGCTCTATGAATATGCAAATGAACCCCGCCTCCACTCACTCCCTCAGCTCAGAGATCCACTGGTTGACGATCACACATTGATCTGATTGGTTACAAGGTCGTTTGTGACGTCAGAAACACCAGCGATTTCAAACCGTGTTTTTGAGACTGTCTTTGGTTCACTGCAGTTTTAAGGAGGAAATACTCAGCAATGCTGTCGACTTATGAACTTACACATGGTTTAAGCGTATTAATAACACCACATAGACACAAACAACATTAAAAACGATTCATCTTTGCACATCCACATTATTGTTTTTAATCTTTTTTTTTCCAAAATATATAAGCATGCTCCATCTCTAAAATGATTCTCCTTTTCGGATGACCTAATCAATCCCTCTTATTTTTCCCTGTCATGTAGACACTATTCCTGATTCAGTGTTTTGGTTAAAAAAAATCCCATCCTTAATTTTTCTCACTCAGTACATCATCAGAGAACTATGGAAGCTTGTTTCCACCACAGAGTCAAAAATAAAAAAAGTAATTGCGACTTTTTTCTCTCACAATCCTGACTTTTATTCTCAGAATTACATGATATAAAGTTAGAATTGCGTGATATAAAGTCAAAATCGCGTTATATAAAGTCGCAATTGCATTATATAAAGTCAAAATTGCGTGTCAAAATTGCGTTATATAAAGTCAAAATTGCGTGTCAAAATTGCGTTATATAAAGTTAGAATTGCATTATATAAAGTCAGAATTGCGCTATATAAAGTCAGAATTGCGTTATATAAAGTCAGAATTGCGTGATATAAAGTTGCAATTGCGTGATATAAAGTTGCAATTGCGTGATATAAAGTCAAAATTGCTTTATATAAAGTCAAAATTGTGTTATATAAAGTCGCAATTGCGTTATATAAAGTCACAATTGCGTTATATAAAGTCAGAATTACGTTATATAAAGTCAGAATTGCGTGATATAAAGTAAAAATTGCGTTATATAAAGTAAAAATTGCGTGATATAAAGTCAGAATTGCGTGATATAAAGTCAGAATTGCGTTATGTAAAGTCGCAATTGCGTGATATAAAGTCAGAATTGCGTGATATAAAGGCGCAATTGCATGATATAAAGTCAGAATTGCATGATATAAAGTCAGAATTGCGTGATATAAAGGCGCAATTGCATGATATAAAGTCAGAATTGCATGATATAAAGTCAGAATTGCGTTATATAAAGTCAGAATTGCGTTATATAAAGTCAGAATTGCGTGATATAAAGTCAAAATTGCGTTATATAAAGGTGCAATTGCATGATATAAAGTCAGAATTGCGTGATATAAAGTCAGAATTGCGTGATATAAAGTCAGAATTGCGTGATATAAAGTCCGAATTGCGTGATATAAAGTCAAAATTGCGTTATATAAAGTCAGAATTGCGTTATATAAAGTCCGAATTGCGTGATATAAAGTCACAATTGCGTGATATAAAGTCACAATTGCGTTATATAAAGTCCGAATTGCGAGATATAAAGTTGCAATTGCGTGATATAAAGTCACAATTGCGTTATATAAAGTAAAAATTGCGTTATATAAAGTTGCAATTGCGTGATATAAAGTCAGAATTGCGTTATATAAAGTTGCAATTGCGTGATATAAAGTCAGAATTGCGTTATATAAAGTCAGAATTGCGTTATATAAAGTCAGAATTGCGTTATATAAAGTAAAAATTGCGTTATATAAAGTCGCAATTGCATGTTATAAAGTTACAATTGTGTGTTATAAAGTCAGAATTGTGAGAGATAAATTCGCAATTGGATAAAAAGTGGATAAAAAGTGTCTTTTTTTCTTTAGAATTGGACTTTATAACACGATTGCGACTTTATATAACGCTATTCTGAGATAAAAAGTCAGGATTGTGAGAAAAAAGTCGCAATTATCTTAAAATGTTTTATTCTGTGGCGTACACAAGCTTCACAGAGGACTGCAGTAAACAGGTTGTGGATAGTGTTTCACTAAATGCGTTGTTCCAGCATCTGCTCTCTGTGATGAATGTTGTGTAACCCGACAGGTTTCCTGATGAGCCTCTTCACGGAGCTGACGGACCGGCACACTTACAGAAACTGCTGTGACACGTCGACCCAAACCACCTCTATATCTGCGCATAAGGAGTCTCTGGGTAAGCCTTCACATCCGTCATGTCTCACACTGAATTACATGTTCCTCGTGTAGAGCGTTCATTTCTTCAAGTCCTCCTGTAGTCAATCATTTTATCCCTTAAAACTCATCTTTGATCACCAAAATGACATATTTAAAAGTTTTTTTCCTTCTTCATGCCTTAAAATATCTTGAATGTAACTCGACACCCTTGCCTCATTTAGTATGCGCGGTTCTATGAATATGCAAATGAACCCCGCCTCCACTCACTCCCTCAGCTCAGAGATCCACTGGTTGACGATCACACGTTGATCTGATTGGTTACAAGGTCGTTTGTGACGTCAGAAACACCAGCGATTTCAAACCGTGTTTTTGAGACTGTCTTTGGTTCACTGCAGTTTTAAGGAGGAAATACTCAGCAATGCTGTCGACTTATGAACTTACACATGCTTTAAGCGTATTAATAACACCACATAGACACATAAACAACATTAAACGCTGGATTCTCACCACAGGGGGACTTTAAACATTTTGGCTTTCAAAAAAAGTGTCTGCAATAGTAAAGATTTCAGCTCTTAAACATTTATATATATTTATAAAAGTAATTAAATAATCCTTGTTTAATGTGCGAGTGAAACTTCATGCCATTGTGTTTGTCTTGTGATTCTCTGTACTTAAGTGTTATTGTGTCATAAGTTTGTTTGTAATATGTGTTTGTGTTATGTATGTTATGTTTCCTCACTGAGGACAAATTAATTATATTTTTCCACATTTTACCATATTTAACCATTTTTAGCAGATTTTCCTCCAAAAATCTACCCTGAAGATGCAAAAAAAGTCAGATGATTCCAATATGTTCTGTGATATTAAATGTTATAAACTAGCCTAATATGTGCACTTTCATTTTTCATAATAATAATATTTTAATAATATAACAATTTTTACTGTATTTTTTATCAAATAAATTCAGCTTTGATCACAGGAATAAATTACACTTTACTATATATTTACACAGAAAACAGCTGATTTACACTGGAGTAATATTTCACAATTTTTAATGTATTTTTTATTGTATTTTTAAGTTGAGAAGATGCAGCTGATCGACGAGGAGTATGAAGTGCTCCGTCACAGAGGAGAGCGCTGGCCGTCAATCGAGGCGAAGCTTGCGGAGTTTAGGAAGGAGATCCAGGAGCAGGCACAGCTCGAGCTCAACGCAAAGGTCTGCAAGAACACAAAACCAACCCAAACACTGGGTTGTTACGTCTGACTCAGGATCTGGGCATCACTAAAACTACCCAAACACTGGGTTGTTACGTCTGACCCAGGATCTGGGTAACACAAAAAGTACCCAAACACTGGGTTGTTACGTCTGACCCAGGATCTGGGTAACACAAAAAGTACCCAATCACTGGGTTGTTACGTCTGACCCAGGATCTGGGTAACACAAAAAGTACCCAATCACTGAGTTGTTACGTCTGACCCAGGATCTGGGTTACACAAAAACTACCCAAACACTGGGTTGTTACGTCTGACCCAGGATCTGGGTTATGCTAAAACTACCCAAACACTGGGTTGTTACGTCTGACCCAGGATCTGGGTTACACAAAAACTACCCAAACACTGGGTTACACTAAAACTACCCAAACACTGGGTTGTTACGTCTGACCCAGGATCTGGGTTACACTAAAACTACCCAAACACTGGGTTGTTACGTCTGACCCAGGATCTGGGTAACACAAAAACTACCCAAACACTGGGTTACACTAAAACTACCCGTACACTGGGTTGTTACGTCTGACTCAGGATCTGGGTAACACAAAAACTACTCAAACATTGGGTTGTTACGTCTGACTCAGGATCTGGGTAACACAAAAACTACTCAAACACTGGGTTGTTACGTCTGACTCAGGATCTGGGCATCACTAAAACTACCCAAACACTGGGTTGTTACGTCTGACCCAGGATCTGGGTAACACAAAAAGTACCCAAACACTGGGTTGTTACGTCTGACTCAGGATCTGGGCATCACTAAAACTACTCAAACACTGGGTTGTTACGTCTGACCCAGGATCTGGGTAACACAAAAAGTACCCAATCACTGGGTTGTTACGTCTGACCCAGGATCTGGGTAACACAAAAAGTACCCAATCACTGGGTTGTTACGTCTGACCCAGGATCTGGGTTACACAAAAACTACCCAAACACTGGGTTGTTACGTCTGACCCAGGATCTGGGTTATGCTAAAACTACCCAAACACTGGGTTGTTACGTCTGACCCAGGATCTGGGTTACACAAAAACTACCCAAACACTGGGTTACACTAAAACTACCCAAACACTGGGTTGTTACGTCTGACCCAGGATCTGGGTTACACTAAAACTACCCAAACACTGGGTTGTTACGTCTGACCCAGGATCTGGGTAACACAAAAACTACCCAAACACTGGGTTACACTAAAACTACCCAAACACTGGGTTGTTACGTCTGACCCAGGATCTGGGTTACACTAAAACTACCCAAACACTGGGTTGTTACGTCTGACCCAGGATCTGGGTTACACAAAAACTACCCAAACACTGGGTTACACTAAAACTACCCAAACACTGGGTTGTTACGTCTGACTCAGGATCTGGGTAACACAAAAACTAATCAAACACTGGGTTGTCACGTCTGACCCAGGATCTGGGTAACACAAAAACTACCCAAACACTGGGTTACACTAAAACTACCCAAACACTGGGTTGTTACGTCTGACCCAGGATCTGGGTTACACTAAAACTACCCAAACACTGGGTTGTTACGTCTGACCCAGGATCTGGGTTACACAAAAACTACCCAAACACTGGGTTGTCACGTCTGACCCAGGATCTGGGTAACACAAAAACTACCCAAACACTGGGTTACACTAAAACTACCCAAACACTGGGTTGTTACGTCTGACTCAGGATCTGGGTAACACAAAAACTAATCAAACACTGGGTTGTTACGTCTGACCCAGGATCTGGGTAACACAAAAAGTACCCAAACACTGGGTTGCAACAACAAGCGTGTCTTACGTCGCTTCAGAGTTCCTACTGGCGGTGCGAACGCAACCAGGAGAACGTTCCTGAGGGAACCATCAGTTCTCGGGGAAACACCCTTGGGGCTCGTTCCTAGAACTGAGTTCATACGCTGCAAAAAATGCTTTTTTTACTCAGTATTTTTGTCTTGTTTCCAGTCCAAATATCTAAAAATGCTTAAACCAAGATGCATTTACTAAAGTAGTAAAATGCCATAATATATTGTCTCTTGTTTTCTGAGGTAATAAATCAAAATTAAGAGAGTTGTTGCTTAAAACAACCACGAAACTATCTGCCAATGGAGTAAGAAAAGCATGTTTTGCAGTGTAGAACTCTCCGTAATAGAGCTGTTTCCCTGTCTCCTGCAGATGCAGCACTTCATGGAGGTGGAGATGGCGAAGGTGAAGCGCGAGGAGAAAGAGGCTTCTCGAAGAGAGATCCTGGAGCTGAGACGAGACATGGAGAGAACGCATGAGCTGAAGTCTGAGGCTCTGATGAGTCGAGAGAAGAACGCCATCGAGCGATTACACCGACAACAGGAGGTGCAGTCATCAAACATACACAACTAATGAGTGCGGGGCGGTACCACCGAAAATACATATCACCGTATTTTTCTAAATTGACGGTATTATTATTTTGTCAAGCATGACTGGGTGTTAACCACATTCTCTACTGATTGAGAGAGGAAATACTGCAGTAGATTCACTCAGAATGCCCTATTTTACTGGCATGAGTGAATATTGTAGAGAAAATCCACACTAGTATCAATACAGGTTTGCAGTGTTTATAAAGAGGTCCAGCAGGAGGCGCTGTAGGAGCGGCAGAAACTGCGGTGTCCCCGGTAACGGATGTACACAAACCAGCACATAAAAGCTGCTTTATCAGGAAACATAAAGAGAGATTCAATTGAAATAACAGAAACTTCTCTAAAGGCCGTCAGTTCGCTTCAGAAACATTCATATAAAAACACCCGCGCCGCGTTTTTCCTTTGAAACGTGCAGTGCTCATGTTTGTTCAACGATGTCAATGACAACCACAAATAGATTTTCCAAAAGGCAGTGTTGATATTGTGAACCAATGTATGGGAAACACTGTGATATAATTTTAAAGCTATTAATTATAGTTTAACCGATCCATATTCCAGTCACACACATCTGTGCTTCACCCGTGCAAAAGTGAAAAGACCCATTTTAAACGGTGTCGCGCCGCGTTCATATCGTTGTTAAAGCGACGTACATAACAAAAATAAACACTGGTATTGGGTATGAACCGGTATACCGCCCAGCACTAGCACTAATGTCAGCAAGTCAATACAAACCAGATGCTAATCCTTCAATGCTCCCCGTTTGGATGAACCTGTCCCGATCCAGACAGAGGAAAAGGATCTTTATGCTCAGAGACAAGCTGTGCTGAGAGAGATGGAGTGTGTGCGCAGCGGAGAGATGCAGCTGAAGCTCCGGATCCAGGCCTTCGACAAGTGAGTCCAGCCCTTTACACCAGCAGGAATCACCCTCGGCGGCGCTAACTGCTCCTCCGTGCACACGTGAACACCAACGTCTCAGGTGTGATCACAATGTTTTCTTTAAAAATAAATAAATATCATATCACCATCTTCGATAAAATAAAATCTATCAATTTATGCAATTTTTTTTTGTTATTTTTGAGTTGTTGTTTTTTTATTTACCAAATTTTTTAAAGTAAAATATGGTTATTTTTATGTTATATTTAATATTTATTTTACTTCAGTAAAAATAAAAACATTCCATTAAGTCCAGACAGCCCAAAACCTAAACATTTGGTGACTTAGGTGACATCTGATGACATATGTTGGTATAAAAATAACAAAAAAGCACAAATATCAATAGCCACTAGATGACTGTAGTGCTCAATGGCTGCATATAGGCTCAAATCTATAAATCATTTTGAAATTACCTTAGTAAAAAATTAGTAAACTAGTAAATAACTAAACTAAAACTAAAGCTATTTAAAAAAAAAAAGAGTAATTGAAACAAAGCCGATTTTAAGTTATTAAAAGCTGAAATATTAGAGGAAAAACTTAAAGTTAAGGTTAAATATGTCAAATTTAAGTGCTAATAATACTAGAGTAAAACAAATAATTAATAATTAAAAATGCACGTTAAAAATTAAACATAAAATTACTCTAAAATGAAAACTGAAAATATACAAATAAAAAATGGTACCGCTTTACGTAAAGCCTGTATATATAATGCATTCTGAAAGTATTTTAATGCATGAATTGTGCACCTTATAATGCGTTGCATGATTTAATGAATAATTGTAACCACAGTTATAATACCGATCTGTATATTGTTAGGCCTTTAGTATAATTCATTAAAACACATGACAAACAACCAATTTCTGTCTGCAAATATTATAATGCATTTTAACTTTGCTTACAATTATTTATGAAAATATATAATGCACAAATATTATGAATACCTTTATAAAACATTAAACATAAAGGCAAAGTAAAGGGCTACCAAAAAAATTATAATTCAGAATATTAATAAATGCTATTTTGATTAACACTACTGTCAATCAAGTTCTGAGGGTGACAGTGTGCTTCATAAGCTCTTTAACTATTCTTTACCTGGGAATTTCTTGTTTATAGTATCATGGAATCTCTTACAGTCAATCCAACACTCATTCACACACCAGATATCATTTTTGATATGTTTCACTAGTGTGTGTAGGACACTTTAGTTCATTTATGTGAGTGAGGAGAGCAGAATAAAGTAAACTGTGAGATATTATACCCAATAACTCTTCATACAGTGACTACCAGTGACATTAATAAACACAAATGATTCCTCCACTTTGAGCTGATCATGTTTTCTTCAGTGTGTTTTCTGTAATTGCTAATGCTCTTTTTACACACACACTGAACAACATGAAGCATTGCTTGGTCACTGGTTGAGCTAAACTGGTATTATCTAATTGTGGAGTTAAATTTAACAGCTGACAGATATTCAACATAATTCATGTGTGAGAGTCTAACAGAAGGACGGACAAAACCAGTCAAATATCCACTGAGTTCTGCTCATATTTCTAAACTATAGCGAATAAACTGTGATAATGTTGAAGGTGTGTGAGCAGACAGTGCTTTGACTGTGTGTGATCTGTTGAGCGCCTCAGAAGCTGTAAGCTGCAGGAGGAGAAGCAGAAGAGCGTGGAGGATCTCCTGAGGAGGAGAGAGCTGTGTGTGAAGAGCCTGGAAGACTCATTCCAGCAGAGACTGAAGAGCGAGATCCTGAAGTAAGCAGAGATCAGACATCACCTCACTCATATAGGGCCCTGATAGTAGATGTGATGGTGAGCTGCTGTGTTTCAGATATCAGCTGGAGCTGAAGGAGGATTACACCAGGAGAACGGACACACTCACAGAACAAGAGGAAAGGATTCAAGGTATTGAAGGATCATCGTTTACCGTTGTTGTATGTTATTGATCTGTACAGTAGATTTATTGATAATGAACGGTCTTATAATCCCGTTCGCAGCAGAAACGCTTCGTCTGCAGAAGGAATCTGCTAATATCGGTGCAAAAGCAGAAGAGCACGAGAGACGCGTATCAGAAGTCGAGCGTCTGCAGGTAAAGCAGATCTGATCCCATGATTCATCCGGACCACAGACAGTGATGAGCATGGATCTTCTGATGTGCTGGTGCTCCTATAGACCTTTACAAACGGTCTATTCGCAGAAATAATATGCTGTTCTTTCCCATGTGTGACCCTGGACCACAAAACCACATCATCTGGAAGCTGGATAAATAAGCTTTCCATTGATGTTTGGATTGTTAGGATATCACACTATTTAGCCGAGATATGACTATTGAACATCTGGAATCTGAGGTGCAAAAAAAATCTAAACATTGAGAAAATCTCCTTTAAAGTTGTCATTTATGTTGGCGATTGTGCTGCATTCACTCACAGAAATATTTTTTTATATATTTTTGGTAGGAAATGTACAAAATATCTTCATTGAACATGATCTTTACTTAATATCCTAATGATTTTTGGCATAAAAGAAAAATCAATAATTCTGACCCATTCTATTGACTATTGCCACAAAAAAAATGCTTTTCTTACGTAGTATTTTTGTATTGTTTACAGTCCAAATATCTAAAAAATAATTCTTGGTTTCTGATAAAACATTTTTAAATGAAGTGAGTTTTTGCTTAAAACAAGCAAAATGATCTTCCAATTGGGTAAGAAAAAATAATCTTGTTTTCCATTTGAATTAACGTTATTTTTCTGACCCCATTGGCAGATAATTTTGCTTGTTACCTAACTCCAGTTACTTGAACACCCAACACTGGGGCATGTGACTGGTTCTGTGGTCCAGCGTTAGGTTAGGTCACATATGTTTGTTCAACACATTCCCGCAGATGGAGCTGGAGTCGGGCCGATCGCAGGCGTCTCTCCTGACCCGAGAGAACGAGCTGATGCGAGAGAAACTGGACAACATGAGGGATTATTCAGCGCTGAAGAAGGAAACACACGAACTGCAGACTCACATCAGACTGATGAAACTCCAGCTGGAGGAGAAACAGCAGGAGAACCTGCGACTCACACAAGGTGTTCCTCCTCTTCCTTCATCAATCCTGGGCCATATCCGAGTTCTGCTGGAGGCTGTCAATCACAGTGCACTCATTACAGGAGCAACACGCCTCCAACCACCTGAGATTAAACTGTTTCTGAGAGACTCTTCTGCTCATCAAAGCTGCATTTATTAAATACAGTAAAACAGTGTAATATTACTCCAGTGTAAATCAGCTGTTCTCTATATGAATATATAGTAAAGTGTAATTTATTCCTGTGATCAAAGCTGTATTTTCAGCATCATTACTCCAGTCTTCAGTGTCACATGATCCTTCAGAAATCACTCTAATATGAGGATCTGATGCTCAAGACACATTTATGATTATTATCAGTGTTGAAAACAGCTCATATTTCTCTGGAAACTGTCATACATACATTTTTTTAGGATTCTTTGATCAATATAAAGTTCAAAAGAACAGCATTTATTTGAAATAGAAATCTTTTGTAACAGTAAATATCTTTTTTAAAGAATTGTTTTAATTTCTTAAATGTATACACTGGGATTTGGGATCAGACGGGGTTTTTCGTTTCTTTCTATTCATCAAATCAGCTGAAAATTCAGCTTTGATCACAGGAATAAATTACACTTTACTATATATTCACATAGAGAACAGCTGATTTACACTGGAGTAATATTACACTCTTTTACTGTATTTATGATCAAATAAATGCAGCCTTGGTGAGCAGAAGAGACTCTTTCAGAAACATTAACAACACACACACACATATATATACACTACCGTTCAAAAGTTTGGGGTCAGTGAGAATTTTATTTTTATTTTTTGGAGGAAAGAAATCAATACTTTTATTTATCAAGGACAGTGAATACATTTATAATGTTACAAAAGATTCTATTTCAAACAAATGCTGTTCTTTTGAACTTCCTATTCATCAAATAATAATAATAATAAAATAAAAAAAACTGTACAACTGACAGACCAACAACATGTATAAATAATAAATGTTTCTTGAGCATCACATCCTCATATTAGAGTGATTTGTGAAGGATCATGTGACACTGAAGACTGGAGTAATGATGCTGAAAATTCAGCTTTGATCACAGGAATAAATTACACTTTACTGTATATTCACATAGAAAACCGCTGATTTACACTGGAGTAATATTTAATACTATAACTGATTTTTGTTGTATTTTTAATCAAATAAGCGCAGCCATGGTTAGCAGAAGAGAATTCTTTTAAAAGTATTTAAAATCGTACCGACCCCAAACTTTTGAACGGTAGTGTACATATTAGTAAACTTTTGTTTACATTTCCATTAGACTTTAAAAAAGCTTCTTCTCACATTATCAATTAAAAGCAAAGTTTGCTTATCAATTGAAGGAGCTTTATTCTTATGAATTGATGAACTAACATAATTCCAACCTTTTATAAAGATTGCTTCAGCAGGACCGGGGAGGGAAAGCTCCTGTGTATTTGCTTATGCATCTTTTCTGAGGAGGAAAAAAACTAACATTTGCAGACTAAAAATGTAAAAACCAGCAGAGTATAACTTCCCCGTGAGGTCGAGCGGTGCCGAGTCTGAAGGGGTCACGCGGGGATAACACACACACACACACACACACAGGGATGTGCTCTGCTTGTTGAGTTGGCGCTGTTGGCTGGAAAAGAGAAAGACAGAGCAGCGCTTCATAGTTTCCTCGTAACACAGCAGATCCTCTGTGCAGTCGGTTACATAATAGATCATTTAAGTTTATTATACACACTTTAAGCATTATCGTATCGCATATAGAATATAATGAGTTATCGCATATCGCATTTTTCTTCAATGTCGTGCAGCCCTGCTGTGGTGAGCAGCGTTGATGCATTACAATATTGCGTTACTCACTAAAAAAGTAACTAATTGCATATTGTAATGATCCATAATGAATTTACTTCCAATATATGTTGTTAATTAAACAAATGGGAGTGATTTGGCAATAAGTGTTGCGATAGAGTGTGTGATTCGCTTGTCTGAGTGGGGAGAAGTGTGTACGGTCGCCCTGGTGTCGGCGCTGTTCAATCCGACACGTGTGGCGATAACACACTCCTGCAGTTAGATCTCGCTGCGATGTCGTTATTCTGCTTCTCACTGGATCTCCCAGCGCTGTGATCATGTGATCGAGTCGGCCCTCTGTTCTGAGATCGGGAAGCTCAAGCGAATAGCGCGGTTTCATAACTTT